CATTCAAACCAGTTGATTCATTTTCACTCGGAAAATTATCAAAGTAAGCTTTCAAACGATGTCCATTTTCCTTAAAATTATTGTCATTCATTGAATTCTCAATATCACAGGCCCCATAAGGATTGCTCCATCTTGGTCTTAGCTCTCTAGGGACTGCATAGAGTTGAGAATTATAAAACAAAACTTTTTGACCAGTATCAATCTTTTGACAATTTTCACAAGTTTTGCAGAATGCATGCATGTCTTTGAACATGGTGGACCAATAAAATCCACTTTGTAAGATTTTTGCAGTTGTCTTTTTTGACGAGAAATAACTTCCACATGCTTCAGAATGACAAAGTTTAATGACACTACTTACCTCATTGTCGGGAATGAATCTTTGAAATATTTGATCAGGACAATATTTGAATAAGTTAGGGTCATCACAATAAAAGTTCTTCACTTTGTTCAAAAACTTTTCTTTGTCTTGGGTACTCCAATCAGCTAGCAAATCTCCTAAAGCAAGAAAATTGATATTTTTATCATACCAAGGCATTGGACTAAGAGAAAGTAAGGATTCGTTAGGAAAGTAATCATCGATTGGTGTGATGTCAGATGTCGAATCTGTTGTCACTGTTGACAAAAGATTCGCATCAACATTTTCTATGCGTTTTTCATCCGTGATTTCTTCCTCAGAATAAATCATTTGCAAATCTTCAGATTCATCCAATTCATTTTTACTTAAAGTAGATTCAAGTTGATCATAAACTAATTCGTCAATATGATCTACTTCTTGTAAATCATTATCATCTCTAGGTTGCTTGCAAATGTTGAAAATATTCATCTCCAATGTCATGTTTCCAAATGATAGCTTCATCAGTCCATTCCTACAATTAATCAATGCGTTAGAGGTTGCAAGAAACAGACGTCCTAAAATAACAGGAAATGAATTACATGCTTCAACAGGTTGTGTGTCCAAGACAATAAAATCCACAAGATAAATGAATTTATCGACTTGTACTAACACATCTTCAATTATTCCTCTAGGCACTTTTATAGATCTATCGGCAAGTAAAAGAGTTATAGAAGTTGGTTTTAACTCACCTAGATTGAGACTCTGAAAAACTGAATATGGAAGTAAATTCACACTAGCACCAAGATCAAGTAAGGCTCTTTCAATTTTATGCTCTCCAATAAAGCAAGAAATTGTAGGACAACCAGGGTCTTTATATTTCAAAGCATTATTGTTTTGAAGAATAGCACTTACTTGTTCGGCTAGAAAGGCTTTCTTTTTCACATTCAGTTTCCTCTTCACAGTGCAGAGATCTTTCAAAAATTTAGCATAGGAAGGAACCTGTTTAATTGCATCCAGCAAAGGTATATTGATCCTTACCTGTTTGAAAATTTCATAAATTTCAGAATTGTGATTGACTTTCCTTTGTTTGGTCATGGCTTGAGGAAATGGAAGTGCTGGCGGTGAATCAGTCGTTTCTTTGCAATTTTCAGATTCATCCCCTTCCTTACCCTCAGAGATTGATTCATCATCTTTCTCATAAGGTTCAAGAGAGGGTTTTTCAATAACCTTACCACTGCGCAGAGTAGTGACTGATTTGACTTGATCCATGTGTTGGCTTCCGGAACTATTTGCATTTGCATTGTATTGCCCTTTGGGATTTTGTTGTGTTTGAGATGGAAACTTACCTTTCTCTTGGAAACTGAGAGCAGATGTTAATTTAGCAAGAGTATCTTTAAAATCTGTCATGTTTTGAGCAAGTTGAGTATTGATTGTCTCTTGCTTTTCAATGAATGCATGCAATGTTTCCTCAAGATTTCTTCTAGGAGGTGGAGCATAAGGAGGTGCATATCCATGAGAATTTTGGAAATTATGGTGTGCTTGAAACGGTGGTTGTGAAGTTTGTGCATTGTTGTTCTCACTCTTCCAACTGAAATTTGGGTGATTCCTCCAACCAGGGTTGTATGTTTGGGAGTATGGGTTGTGGTTAGCCCTTTGGAAATTGTTTAAAGCATGGGCTTGTTCATGGAGACATTCTTTAAAAGAAGGCAAGGTTGGACAATCGTTGGTTGAGTGTTCATTTGTTTCACAGATTTGACACACAATGTTTTCAACAGATTTTAATTGACCACTCTTTTTCAATTCTAGTGCCTCGACTTTTCTAGCTAAAGATGCAAACTTGGCTTGAAGGTCATGATCTTCCCTAAGGTTGTACATACCTCCACTAGATGTATGAGGTTGAGCTTTACTCGGTGCCTCATAAGTACCCGCAGTGTCCTAATTTTGAGCATTTTCAGCTAACAAGTCTAAGTACTCCATTGCTTCATCAGGGTCTTTATCTTCAAAAGTTCCATTGCACATCAATTCAACCATTTGCCTATCTTTAGGTGTTAACCCTTCATAAAAATGTGAAACCAATCTCTATGTTTCAAAACCATGATGGGGGCAAGTACTAAGCAAATCTCGATACCTATCCCAACATTTGTAAAATGTTTCTCCTGATTTTTGAGTGAAAGTGGTGATTTGTCTCTTGAAAGAGTTTGTTCTATGAGATGGAAAAACTTCTTTAAAAATTGTTGTTGCATTTCATCCCAAGCACGAATGGATCCTGGTCTTAAATTTTGTAGCCATGTTTTAGCTTTATCTTTTAATGAAAAAGAAAAAAGCTTTAATTTGATGGTGTTCATGCTACAATTTAAATTATTATATGTGTTGCAGACCTCCTCAAATTCCCTTAAATGCAAGTATGGATTTTCCAATTCTAAACCATGAAAAGAAGGTAAAAGTTGAATAATACCTGGTTTAAAATTAAAATGAGATGCATCAGGAGGAAAAACTATGCATGATGGTGCACTTGTTCTTGTGGGATTCATGTGGTCTCTAAGTGTTCTAGCACGGTTATTCTCATTATTCTCATTTTGAAGTGATTGATTATCTTCTTCGGCCATATTTTCTGAAAATGATGAGGATATCCTACAAAGTCTACCACTTGATGCACGTGACCACACTCTCATGCACGTGTAGGAATAAAATAAAAAAAAAGTACTAATCATAAATTATAGGTATCTTATATTATTAGATACATTATTATAAAACATATTTTAGTTAAGGAGTTATTGATACTTCAAGTGCAAAATGATGATATAAAACCATGATAAAAATGCACTTTTAAGTACTAATCACACTGCTACGACAGGTGGTTTGCTACCCTTTCCTTGGTTCTTCATCTTCAAATTTCACTGTTTTAAACAGTAGAATGTGAATTATAATTCACGTCTATTGTTCATGTAGTGGACTATGTCCCTTTTTTTTTAAATCCAAAAATTTTCAAAAAAAATTATTTCAAAAAAATTATGATTTTCTTGCATATTTTTTGTACCAATTTTGCATAATATTGGGTTGCATATTTACACTATAAAATACAAATCTTAAAAAAATATTTTGTTGCATACAGCCAAATCTTGAAATTTTTCCAATCATATTTTTCATAAAAAAAATTGCATCTTTTTTCCATGTTTAAAAAAAAATTCAAAAATGGATATCGTAACTAGTTCATAATTATTCATTAGGATTTGGCCAACATGTCAAAAATATTTTTTAATTTTTTTTAGAATTTAGATGTAGACTTTAATATTAGTGGGATGTAAAAGTATATGATAAAGTACACCCTCAGGTATTAAAGATACAAGATGTAAATAAATACAATGCTAAAATTTAGACTTTAAAACGGTTAGGATTTAACCCAATAAAATAGGGACTCTATCATGAAAATAAATCTTCCTTGAGCCATAAAAAAAACCAACAAATACCTGACTCAGAAAAAAAAAATCAAACAACAATGCAGTTTATTTCAAGTAGGATGCACTGGAGGTGATGCGTCATCTTCTTGCATAATCAGTCTCTTACTCAGACTCTCATAGATTATAAGTTCATATTAATCATAATACTAGGCAGTGACTTCTAAACATTAATTATAATTTTATAATTAAATACAAAATTATTTTCAATACATAATACCTCACTTCACTACCATAAGCATGATAAAAACCTTTATTATCATCAAACAATATCGTGTCGCTTGCACGCCACAACACCTATCGTAGCAATAAATAATTTATGACCACTAACCCATTTTGTTTTTGTTTTGTTTTTTTTTTACAAGAACAAAGGGGTCATATCTAGGTCATATGATAGCAACATCTTAATTAATCATACAATTTTTCTACGCAATTATTTTTTTCACAGGCCAATTTGTGATAGGTTTCTACAGTGTGTGTATATACTAGTAATTAATTGTCTTGTGACCATTTTTGTTAATATTCGAATTGAAATGACAAATCATAAAATGGTCTACGTGAAATGAGGGGAAGGAGATTTATTTTTGGGTCCCTCTACTATTCCTATACATGACAACTGAGAAAAGGTCCGTATGTACAAAATGTTCATTTTGTACTGAGGTCGTGCCTTGAGTACAGTGGCTAATGAGATCATGATTTTTTAAAGTGTTATAGTAATTATTTTTAAAGAATTTTTTAAAATAATATATATTAAAATAATATTTTTTTATTTGAAAAAAAATATTTTTAATAACAATATATCAAAAAAATCTTAAAATATATATAAAAAATTAATTTGAAAAAAATCAAGATTCTAAAAATTACTTCTTTGTGAGGTTCAAGAGAATTATATCATCAAATTAATTAAATGTTTATTTTTTAAAGTATTTTTCATTGAAAATATATTAAAATAATATTTTATTTATTTATTTATTCAAAATTATTTTTGATATCAAGATACTCTAAAAATACTAAAAATTAAATAAATAAAAATTATTATTTTTTCAAAATTATTTTTAAAACAACTTGCTCCAACATTCTGTTGACTAGACAGACATTTTGGCACCATTTCTTTTTTTCAGGGCAAGAGAAATAGACCACCAAACTAACTAATAGGTCCTGTAAGAGCACTTCTAAATGTCCGAGCCAAAGAGAGCTTCCTTTGCTATAAATACCAATGCCATTTGCTCCTAAGTGATCATGGGAATTGTTTAAAAAACACTCAGTTAAATCTCTTAGGCTATAAGCATTTTGTCTGGTTACTCTTTTGATTTCTTGTTTGATATGGGACTGCTGGTTTTGGTGGTGCTTTGGCTGCTCGGATATACATTAGGAGGGGCGTCCATGTCATGGGCTGCAACTCACAGATTCCAAATGCAAGTCCAAACACAGTGCAGCTACACTAGGTATCCAGGCCTCTGTCTCCAGTCCTTGAAGGAGTTCCAAGATCATCCTCTTGACGTCATGACTGCTCTTGTTAACAAAACTATATCTGAGACCAGGCTGCCCAATTCATACTTCGAAACACTGAGCTCCCATTTGGAAGCTCAAGAAGCTGAAAGTGTCCTATCCGTCACAGGTTCTATTTCCCTTATATGTACTCCTTCCATGACTTTTTTATTATATTTTGTCATTCCATTGCCATTTTCCCAAAAACGATTGCTTGAAAGCAACTGATACTATGTAACACTGCCAGGTCAAATAAACAGGGAAGTGAAAATACTATTCAACACTGACAATGACACGTTAAATATTTTTGTGTTTGTGCGTGCCAGTCTGTAATTTATACAAGCTGAAAATCTCCCTTTACTGTGCGTGCAGACTACTGCAAAAACCTGATGAGTATGTCTCTGAAACGGTTAGACCAGTCGTTATTGGCACTCAAATATTCTCCAAGGAAAAGCAAGCATGACATACAGACGTGGCTAAGTGCTGCTTTAACCTTTCAACAAGCTTGTAAAGATTCTACCGACAGCCTTGGGCTCTCCGGTGACTTCATGCCACGTATTTCTGAAAAAATGGATTATCTCTCACAATTGGCCAGTAACTCTTTAGCCCTAGTCAACAGGATTACTCATGATTACGGGACTAAGCTTAAAAACAGCACTAAAAGACGACGTGCAGAGGAGAAATCACAAGGTTTTCCCAAATGGGTATCGGCGAAAGATCGAAAACTACTTCAAACTAGCACCATCAAGGCCAATGCTGTGGTTGCAAAAGATGGAACAGGTAATTATAACACAATATCGGAAGCTATAAACGCTGCTCCTGGGAAACGGTTTGTGATTTACGTGAAGGCAGGAGTCTACAAGGAGAAGATTCGTAGCAACAAGGATGGTATCACCTTGATAGGAGATGGTAAATACTCTACTGTTATTGTTGGTGATGACAGTGTTGCCGGCGGCTCTTCCATGCCTGGTTCTGCTACATTTAGTTAGTTCTTTCTCTCTCTCTCTCTCTCTCTCTCTCAGCTAATAAATTATTTTCTTCGTCTTTTTGGCTACAAGGTCCTATAAATTAAAGGCTTTTTAATCTATAATGAACTATTCACATGCTAGGCCTAGGTGATCATGCAAAGCTCTTAATCAGGATCTTCCGATATTTACAAAAACCTCTAGAGTTCTTTTTTTTTTCTTTGAAAAAAGAAAGTATCTGTATATAAATTAAGCACAAATAGCTTGAATTAGGTTCTTGCTATTTTTTTATTGAAAGCGAGAGGCTCGGATCAATAGGTAAGAGATCTCTTGGAAAGTTGAGGACATGATTGTCATCGAGCACAGGATTATTGGCAGTACAGGGTTTTTTTTTACTTGCATCTAAAAATACAGTAAGTATATTTTATATCTATCCTCAAAAATGAAAACTTAACATAAAAATATTGGTTTTATGCAGGAAATTAAATAGAAAAGTATTGGTTTTATGCTACTCATATGGGGTAATGTTCCATTATTCCATTAAATTAATATTTTCATCCCTATAAAAGAAACGAAAAGGTCATATGAACTTTAACCGGTGACTTCTAATGTGTAATTGCTCAATATATTTGATATATAATTTCTTTTAGTTAATATGCATTATCTTCCTCTAATGGGATTATATATATATATATAAAGCACTCCAGCAATCATTTTTTATTAGAGTTGTGTATTAAATTTGAAAGTAATCATATTTGACCTTTAAAAATATGTTTGTTCGTGGGTTGCATCACGGGCGGTACATCGCACAAAAAGTACGAATTTCATACTTTTCAAAAAATATACTTTACAGCATACCTTTTAAATAAACACATTATTAATGCATCCATCTCTTAAACAAAGACACCATTAATATTAATATATAGAAAAGAAGTAACATGTCCTCCGAAGGTAATTACGTGCTAATAGCTGTTACACTGTTTAACTTTTTTTCCCCTCATGTGGAAAGGATATGACTCGCATCTATCGCTCTCGCTTGCCGAACGAAACAAAAGAACAGGAGTTTCTTTCTTCTTCTTTTTTTAACACCAAGCTTGAGTCCAAATTTAAATTATAAGGATAGAAACGACATATATAGTAAATAGTATGTCGAGTCAGAGATCATCAACAGAAGATGCTGTGTATGATTAATGCTATATAAAAACAAAATCATCCAACTTTTCTCACAAACTTACGTGTCAACTGTTAATTTTGTTCATATCGACTCAATTATTTAGCAATATTTTCCATATCACTAACATCAATTTGTTGAAATGTTTAAATATCAGTGTGATCTATTGAGTTTGTAAATCATTTCCTTTTTTAATAATTAATGAAGGCTGACATCTTTAATTTTCCCGGGTGAAGCAATCACAGGTGATGGTTTCATTGCTCGGGATATTGGATTTCAAAACACGGCAGGCCCCGGAGGAGAACAGGCCTTGGCTCTACATGTAGCTTCTGACCACTCAGTTTTCTACCGATGCAGCATAGCTGGCTACCAAGACACTCTATATGCAGTTGCTCTCCGTCAATTCTATAGAGAATGCGACATTTTTGGCACTATCGACTTCATTTTCGGCAACGCTGCTGCTGTCTTCCAGAGTTGCAACTTGGTCCTTCGGAAGCCGCTCGGTGATAGCTACAATGTGATTCTAGCAAATGGAAGGGATGACCCTGGACAAAACACTGGTTTCTCAGTACAAAGTTGTAGGATTACTGCGAGCTCCGATTTTTCTCCGGTTATGCACAACCATAACTCATATCTTGGCAGGCCCTGGAAACGATATTCAAGAACAGTGGTGATGGAATCAAGCATTGGTGATGCTATTTCATCAAGAGGTTGGATTGAGTGGCCTGGTGAAGGTTCCTATGCTAAGTCACTCTACTTTGCTGAGTATTCGAACACCGGACCTCGCGCTGGAACTTCTAATAGGGTAAAATGGCCAGGGTTCCACGTCATTGGACCTTCTGAAGCTGCCAAATTTACAGTCGGTAATTTTATTGCTGGAACCTCATGGCTACCTTCTACTGGAGTAACCTTCATTTCTGGCCTCCAGTGATTTGACTAAAAGCTGGACATGGAATTACTATTCTTAGTAATAAACTAAGGATAGTGAGCAATAAGTAGTATCTAGGAACTCAGAGAAACCTCAATTGCTCACACAAGAATTATTTGCTTAAGATGCTTGCAATAATGGAGAGGTTGTGTATGATAGATTTGTTACTGTATAGCAGAATGATTCTTCCTCTGCCGCTAAAAGAACAAGTGTATTATATTTTCCAAACTATATGTTTAATAATATTGATTCTTCCTCTGCCTCTAAAAGCACAAAATGTATTATATTTTCTAAACTATATGTTTAATAATATGCTAACTGATGGATTGAGCATTATTAATATTGTTTAAGAAAATAAATTGGAGTTCAAATCTTTTTTTTTTCGATGATCTTTTAATTAACCTTTTTTTTTTATGGAAGCCATAATTTAGACAACGAAATCAATTATATTCCAAAAAAAGATCAATCCTGTCCAATCTTTGCTCTGGACTCAAAATTCCAAGTCAAGAACAAATTGATGACCAGAAGTGATAATAAAGCTATCTCGAGGGCTACTAAAGTTGTGTGAACACTACTTATCATCCACAGAAACTGTTTTCCATGGACATGGAACACAAGGGGTCATTTTATGTAATTGGTCTCCCATCCTACTAGGGGTGACGTCCACCTTTTATTTTAACTTCATTAGAAAAGATCCGCAGTGACCCAAAAAGAAAAAAAAAATTAAGAAAAATAATAGTAATGAAAAAAAAAGCCCACGAATGAGATGTGGAGGTGGGAAATGAATTTATTTTTTTTGGGTACAAGTGAAATAAAAAGCAAAACTAAGAACCTCCACGAAAACAAATGTCCATAGAATCAGTAAGCAGGAGAGATAATAACCCTGCAGGGAGATCATCCAAAATATAAAGCTCCGTACGATCTTGGGCACCTAATTTGGCAAGAAAATCCGCACAATAATTGCCTTATCTCAAAGCATGACGAAGTTGAACCTCCCATTCCCTTGAGAGGATATACAGATGCTAAGCAGGCAGGATGTTCCTTTCATCGTGGGTCTACATTTAGATGCTTTACTTTTATAAGAGGAAATCTTGTTACTTGGTGCAGTAATTAAAAAGCAGAATGTTGTGGCATGATCTTTGGATAAAGTTGAGTATCATAGCATGGCTCATGGTATTTGTGAATTACTGTGGTTGTGATTGTTGCTTTCTAAAGGTTCTATGAATCTCTGTTGTGACAATAAAGCTACTGGGAAAATTTCTAATAATCTAATTTAACATAATCACACAAAATATATTGAGTCACATAAAATATATTGAGTTGGATCGTCATTTTATTAAAGAAAAACCAGACACCAAGCTTGTAGCACTACCTTTTGCTAAATTTGAGACTCAACTACCAGGTATGTTAACACAAGAAGTATTCAGGAAAATGTTTTTTATATTTTTTGACAAGTTAGATATTACACAAGAAGTATTCAGGAAAATGTTTTTAAAATTTTTTGACAAGTTAGATATTAATACTATCTATGTATCAACTTGAGGGGGTGTTAGGATATAATAATGTTGCATAGAGATTCTGTATAGTTGTTCATTGATCTTAGTGTTGATTGTTAGCTAGATTGTGAGGGGGTGTTAGGATATAATAATGTTGTATAGTTGTTCATTGATCTTAGGTGTTGATTGTTAGCTAGATAGGCTCGAGTAATTAGTTTTCTTTTTAAATTGATTTTTTAGACTATAAAGAACTCTTGTATATACATATATCTCTATTATATGAGAATAAAGCAATGAAGATTTTTATATTTTTACATGTGGAATTCTAAGATGATACGAGGAGATAAGAACAGAGTTGTGTTCATAGAATTCAGGATTTGTTTGACGAAATGCTTGAAAGGGATTCTTGTTTATGTAATGATTTGAATTCTAGGTATTATGGATGGCATTATTGCAATTAAGAGTATAGATGACAATTTAGTTATCATTGCTCTCTAATCTTTTGAATTTTTTATTTTATTTTATTTTATTTTGCATTGCATTCTACCTTGAGAGCATTACTTGGAGGTTAAAAATATAAAGTATCCAAAAGTCAATTGAGAAACCAAGTGTCGGTGCAGACTCGGCAGAGACACAGGGAGATGGCTGGCTTTAATATATAATCAAGACATGCATGTAGTTTGTTACCAGTCTAAAATGATCTAAAGGTGACCTTCCTACCTAGGCTAAGCCACGCTCAACCTCATAACTCTCATAGGAATCGATTTATTATAGCTGTGGACAGTGCCCATGTGTCTGCATTCAAGCTTTATCTTAATAATTTGAAAATGATCTTCAATTTCCTGGCTAATAATTTGTTATAAAGTCAAGATCAAAGTCACTGCAACCTAATAATGCAAAGCCTGCCGGACCGGACCTATTACAACCACTAACTATTAGCTAATTGGGTATGGTGGCCTCTCACTATACGTAGAGCAATCCTAACATTCAGTTCTATCTCCAGCCTCAGCCCCACTATTCCAACAGTTTGATTGAGTTTAGGACGGTTTGGTGTAGTTGTTGATTATTTTTTTTAGACTGTTTTAATGTACTGTTGTTATTAAAAAAAATTAAAAAAATAAAATAAATATTATAATATATTTTTAAATGAAAATACCTTGAAAAATAATTTATATTACTCTCAAACATCCTTTTAATAAACATGTTAATTGCAATATAATTTAAGCATAGAGCATAAAGCATTGAGCATATTTTTTTTATTTTTTTGATATCAATGCATCAAACCAATCCAAAAATACCAAAAAAATTTCATTCGAAATAAAAAATAATTTTCTTAAAAAAAACTATACTACAATATCAAAACAGCTAATTTGGTTGTATCAAGTTTCAAAAAAAAGCATATTGCAATTTGTTCAAGTATAAAAATACAAGACATAATTAACAATATTTGTGCTTTATTGTGCGTCGAATAAAATTTTTTAAATATTAAAATATAAATATAATAACATTTCTTACATGTTTTTTAACATAAAAAAAATCATAATTGTAAATTAAAAATTTTATGTGTGCATTTAATTAATTAAATAAAAAATTAGTTGTGCCATCAAAAAAAGTTATGAAACTTGTATCCTTACAAATTAAAGTTAATCAGCCAAACTTATTACTCAGATCATGGACTCAATTAGGTTTAATAATTTTTTTCTTATAATTTTTTATTAAAAGTAGATATTTGCAAAATTAAGAATCATCTAAATATAGCGATATTTGTTTGATATCATGATAAACCTAAAAATATCAAACCAAAACAAATTATGTTGGCCAAATAAAAATCAGCAAAATATTAAAAGATAAAGCTAGGAAAAAAATAAACAAATTATGTTGGCCAAATAAAAATCAACAAAATATTAAAAGATAAAGCTAGAAAAAATTAATAAATATCTAGTTGTGAATGATCAAATTAGAAAAAAAACCCATAAAAAAATAAAAATAAAAAAGAAGAATTAGAAGCACAAGCCTGATTGATGTAGCAAACCTAAGTCTATAAAAAGGCTCAAACACGTGGGCTTGGAGCATGCCACTTGGTTAGGCGTGTTAATTTTTTTTTAATGGAGTCCAAAACCTTTCTTTAACGGATTCGACAACTTGCACTAATGCTCATAAAATTTAGAAAAAAATAGAAAGTAACACATTGCTTTACTTAGATTTTGACAATCAAAGGTCACTGAAAGCGAAGAAAGATGTTTTACACAAGGAAAAAAAAGTATTTCAACCATATAAAAAACACTTAAACAACACCTTATATACCTTGAAAGATAAATCAATGACTTCAAATAACCCAACAATCTAAAGTCAATTAGAAATTAAAAAACTTTTCAAGTTCGTATTTATCTCAAGTAAGGCTAACAACAAAGAACACAGGATAAAATATCCTCATTGAATGGAGCTCATTGTTATGAAAATATTCATTATTCATGGTTAAAATTAATATCAATTGAGATTTTTTTTTATAATATAACTAGAATCCTACTACTTTCTTTCTCATCTTCCAAACCATGGACAAAGCATAAGAAAAATGAAGTTTTGAAACAAAATTAATTTTTGAAAATATTAAGGGATCAAACATTTATAATGAGAAAATTTTGCAAACCAAAGTGAACTTTTTACTCCAAGTTTAAAACAATCATCATTTCTCTATTTTTCTTTATTCAGTTATACATCTTTGAATATTACCCTTTCTCAATAAATTTATTTTAATTGACCATTTCTTTTAGCTTATAAGAATGTAGTTAGAAAAAATTACAGAGATAAAAAAAAAATTATTATTGTAATTTATAAAGATTTGTCTATGTATGAATAAAGATTACACCATAACTTTTAGATTATAGTTAATATAATTTGCATCCTTTGATGTTAGAGGTGATAAATGATGGGTATGGATTAGGTCATATGATTGCGGGTTATGTTTTATTTGTTACTTATTTATTTTTAAATGGATATTTATATACATTTAAATTTATTTAATCTTTGCCATGTTTTAGAATATTAATTTTGATCGATTTTACAATTTAATTTTTATAAACTTAATTGTTAAGAAAAAAATTCAATGAGGTAATAAATGTGATTTCAAAGAAATATGAAGAAATATGAGGATAAAAAAATCTCAAAAAAATAAAAAAGAACTAATTTGTAAGCAAAACAAAATATAGGGACTAAAAAAATCTTTCCAGAATCTCATTGAGAAGAATTAACATGTTTTGAAAGTTTTATTTTTTAATTTTTTTTTTAATGGGTTCAATTCTTGAGCAACTGATATATTGAATTTCTTAAAACCTATACTCTCTTGAAATACATGAATGTGAATAGATTAAAGAAAATGGATAGCTTTTGCCATCACACTGGGATGTTTCGAAAGCTAGAATATTTGCAAGATCAACTGTGATCCACAACACCATTCACATAGTTCTCCCTGTCGGATGTCATAGCAGATTGCCATTTTCCAGTTGTTCTGACAGTGGCGTTTTTAATTACAGTAGAGCTGTCGCTTTTCACGTCCATGTCCACTTTTTGAGCACCTATTAAAAGGATGGCTGTACTGCCTTCCTTTTCTATCAAACTTCTACTCCCAAGACTTTTCGACGATCTGATTAATTAACTTTCGAATCTTTAATGGCCATGCCAGTATTCGCTGTGTTGCCTTTAGGGAGTGGATAATTAGGGTGGCGAGTGACAGGTTGACAGCAATCCCTGCAAGTTGTGGCATGCAGGCACCCACCCCTGTCCATGCATGGTTTTATATTTCTATGGAGTAGGAACACCATGTCTTGTCAATGTACATGAATTACAAAAGGATAGGATCGCTTGGATTTGCCTGTCCTTTACTTTTGTTATCGAATTGATCATACCAGGCATGGATTTCAGGATTGTGCCACGAAACAAACACTTGAAGCTTAATTAGGGCCCTGAGAGAGATCACGAGAGTGCCTGTCCTTTACTTTTGTTATCGAATTAATCATACCAGGCATGAGGCATGGATTTCGGGATTGTGCCACAAAACAAACACTTGAAGCTTAATTAGAGCACTGAGAGAGATCACGATGTGTTTTTTGAAGTTTCGGGGAAACTTCTATACGGGCTGGATTATTTTTCGTGAAAAAAATGATTAGCTGCTGTAAACGTATTTTAA